GTCCACTATGCTGATTTTTTAAAAATGTCTCAAGTGATAGAGAAAATATGTGAATGGTCACAAGAAATACTATTTTAGCAAGATCCTAGACAGGCTCCCTTCACTGCATGTTGAGTCTGGAGAATGGAGCTAATGCTCACTTGTCCTAAACACCTTAGTGTTGCTGATTGCATGTATATTTAATACACTCATTGCTCCAGTGTACATGAGTTCCAGTGTACGTGAGTTCCAGTGTACATAAATTCCAGTGTACGTGAGTTCCAGTGTACGTGAGTTCCAGTGTACATGAGCTCCAGTGTACGAGTTCCAGTGTACATGAGCTCCAGTGTATAGGAGCTCCAATGTACATGAGTTCCAAATCAGGGCCAAGTGTATCCCAAAGCAGTTTCAGTGGAACTTCTAATCTTGTTTAGTTCCAAATGCCTTTGCTTTCTTCCTGTGTGATCCTGATAATTGTTTATTCTGTTAACAACAGTAACTAACATTTATGGAGCCCTTACCATGAATTGAGTGATGTACTTTATAAAGCAGTCTTTTTAAGATAGTATAATCCAGATACATTTATTTGTTTAACAAGATTTTATTCTGTACTCTCTACCAGGCACAAAGGATATAGCAGTCAATATAGGCGAGTCCCTGCCCAGAGCACATTTGTACTGTGCTCAGTATTCCTCTACTGAGCAGAGGAATGAATACACAGACTCTGTGTGGCCGCGACCCCTGCCGCTCGCCGGGGGTGTAAAGCACCAAGGGCCCCAGTTCTGTGCACCGTGACTGCCACTGTGACACTCTGGTCAAGGCTGTCTTCCACCGTCTGCTCCCTGCCAGGGACCGACCATGAAGTAACATTAGGGCACACCTGTTCTGGAGAACATAGGGACCTCTCCTGCAGGTGACATTGGCTCAGAATTCCCCCAGCGGCCCTAACGACTGCCCTGGACTGCACAGGGGTCTAGGACACGCCCACATTGAGGACACACCCGGGGAGGTCTCTCAGCTCTCCCCTTTTTCTCTCACGTGGGCAGATTTTCTAGTAAAGTTCTTGCCGGTTTAAGCCCCTCTTGGCCTCTGCTTCTCTGAGGACTCAGACTAGAATGACACTGTGTTAGGGAGAATGAATGCTATAAAGAAAAAGAAAAACATGGTAAAGGGTTAGCGGTATGGCCTTTTGAATATGGGTGGTCAGGGGAGGGTGAGGCAGAGGTGGCATGTGAGCCACATACATAGAATTGGAGAGCCCTGGCCAGTTTGGCTCAGTGGTTAGAGCGTCGGCCTGCAGACCAGAGAGTCCCGGGTCCGGTTCCTGCTAAGGGCACGTCCCTCGGTTGCAGTTTGTCCCCGGCCCCAGTTGGGGTCGTGTGGGTGGCAACCACTCGATGTGTCTCTCTCTCTCATGGATGTCTCTCTCTCTCTCTCTTCCCCCCTCTCTCCCTCCTGCTCTATCTGAAGATAAATGCAAAAATGTCCTTGGGTGAGGATTAAAAAAAAATAGACTTGGAGAAAAGTCTGACTTCCTGAGTGAAGTAAACTGCTTAAGACGATAGTTCTGATTGGTGGCCGATCAGTAGCCAGCTGGCACCAGTACCTCCCCTGCTTTCATAGGTATTTGCAAGCGCATTATGACAAAGTGTGACGAGAGTATCTGTTGGGGGCCAGCTGCCATCAGACAGTTGCATGTAGTGAGCAGAACCGCTTCTGGGGGCAACGGGCCAGCGCCACAGAACAGTGAGCTGCTGTCTGCGGGGCCGGGCCTGTGTTCCCTCAGCCCGCTCCAGCCTGGCCCCCTCCCTGGCCCTGCGTATTTAACCTGCGGGGCTGCAGCTTCTGTCCGAGTTCTTCCATCCCCAGTGAAAGTGGGGAGTGACACCGAATTGATCTTTCTTCTTCTGTTTCCCAGTCCTGTTTCCTGAAATGGCTCTCTTTCCGACAGGGCCCAAGCTGTCACTGAAATGTGTTTCCAAATATCACACAGGGCTGAGTAACAGGCCCGTCGTTTGGGGTCTGAACTACGGCCTCTTAGAAAGAACTCCCCCATCCTTGCCCACATGTGCCAGGTCTTCCTGTTCAGCCTGTTACACTGAGCAGTGGGGAATGTTCACGCGCAGGGTTGACATCCAGCTCTTCTGTCTGAGGAATTTAAATGAGGGCACACCCTGTTATTTATCTGACAATACTTCAGTCTGAGCCTCGAAATCCTGAGCAATTTTACGTCTTTCTTACTTCTGCAAGGCTCCACCGCTTAAAGCATCACTATTTTCTACACAGCCTTTGACGCAGCAGCAAAGAATTGCCCACCCCCCCCCCCCTTGCTCTTTTGGCGACAGCCTGGCCCTCGCTCCCCATTCCCAGGAAGCCAGCTGCCCATCGTTCCCTGGGGTAGAGCCTGGGGAGGTGGAAAGTATTCTTCAGAAGAAAAGAGGTGTTCAAAACAAGTCTTTCCTAAGCTTAATGGAAAGCAGTTGTGGCTGAGAGTCCGCAGTGATGTCATGCAGGTTTTAGCAGCGGCTGCAGCAGAGCGAGGAAACCGGAATCAGTCGGCCCCTGGCCAGCCGAGCCGGGGCTGGAGGTGGCACCTCGTCCCTCTCACTCCAGACGGCCGTCCTGCCCCCAGAAGCCTCCCTGAGCATCGCTGGCTCCCTCCGTGCCCCGGCTACGCAAACGCTTAGAAATGCGTCCGTTTAGAAAAGGCAAAATTTCAAGTGGGTGCAATAGACGGTCATCCGGACTAAAACGTCATTGTCCGTATTCACACTTGATCATGTGATAACCGATGATGAGCTGTTTTCATTATCAAGTTCTTTTGAATACTAAGGAATGGAGAATGAGAAATGACTGAAGGGAGTTACTCGCCAAGAAGTGCTTTTTTTTTTTTCTTTTTAAACAGTAGTTCCAGTGATTAATGGAACTCATTACGGAGAGAACAATTGGCCATCTGATCATCAAGAAATGGGCTAAATAGAATAGGAAATGTCATTGCATGACCCAGACGTCCGTGGACAGAGTAATGGGAATTGGGAGAGCTTCCTCTGAAGTTTTGAAAGTAGGAAATATTTTCATTCGAAGGAATGTTTTCGGGGGTGTCCTTCAGCTGTATAGTTTTCATAGTGCTTCTCTTTCCGCTCTGGGTCCGTTCTTCCCCCTCCTCCGCTGGTGCGCAGGGAGGGTACACCCGCCGGGGCACAGCCCTGCGCGGACTCGGCGGTTTTCATCACGGCGCCCTGGGGGGTCTCTCCACCTTCGGAATGAAATGTGCACACGGCTGCTTCTGTTCAGTCACTTGGCATCTCTAAAGGTGTCAGACAGCTGAGCTAGAATTAATAGACACTTCCAGGAAAGGAAGAAATACAATAGTGAACCGAGGGTTATTCCATCATTTTCTAACCAGTATTAAAAAAAAAAAATTCTTAGCTTCTCCCTTTTTAAACTCTGCTTTATAGTACTGGGGAGTCCTGTTCTACAGCTAACATATTTCAATGTTGGCCCCTTTCGGTGGTTGACTGAATGGTGATCCATTTGGAGATAGTTAAATTCACGCAACAAAATTCCAATTTAATGAAAAATAGTAACTCATTTCAAACTGCCAATAAAAACTAAACCATTTCCGCAAAGCGAATACTCAACCATGAGTAACTTTCATTTTTAAAAGGTTAAAATGGCCCACGAAATGGCCTGATGGAAGCCTCATGGCTAGCATTTATCACAGGTGCCAACATTGTCGTTTCAAAACAGGAAAACTCCAAAACATAAATAAAAGGAATATATCTTAAAGCTATATTGTAAATTATACCAATGATCTACAATGATAATATGTATAAATACAATACATTGATGTTACTACTTTCTAGGGATTACATTTTTCATAAGAAAAAATTTTTTTAATTTCTCTAATTGCAGGTCTAGAGGCTGATTAAGACAACCACCGATCCCAACACCACATACAGATTCGTTGTCAATAAGCAGCGTTGCTACGTGGCATTTGCCTTCCTACACGGTACACACGCCTTCTTCCACTTCCTGAGCTTGATGTGGTAGTTGTCTGTGGATGGAACGTTTCTTCTCCACTTCAGCATCTGTCGCAGAACCCTTCACTGAAGTCAGTGGAAGAACTGATGTTTATTTCTCACCGGTTCTGTGCTACATCCTTCCTCAGCCATAGTCTAAGCTAGATCTGTACCCTTCTATCCATCTGGGTCTTCTACACCATATGTGCACACTGCACGGGGTGGGGATGACACCCGTCGGAGGTTTGCGCGCTCGGCTCTGTGTTTCATGGCGTGTCCTCCCTGGGGCTTCAGGACCTGAGCAGGGTTTAAAGATTCACCAAAGACAGCTGCCAAGTCACAGTTCTCCCTCTCACATATATTTATATGTCTATTCGTGTGTATTTTATTTGATTTTACTCTTCTAAAGATGTATAAGTGATTTTACTCAAAGTGAAATCCCATCGGCACACAGCACTGGGGTGTGAGGAACGTGAACTTGAGGTAACCTTGGCCTTTAAAACTAGTAGCAGGATGTTCCCTGAGTCATTGTCTCCGGCTCCCTGACGGAATGTTAAGTGAATATAACAACCCAGTTGAACTCCGGAGAATGCCTGGAGCCATTACCTAATGATTCAGAGCACGCGGAGGAAGACAAAGCCCTTTAGAAAAGGTCAACAAGCCTCGTGAAGAGACTTCATCCAGACATGCTGCTGTGTCGTGGTCACCAGGAAGGACCCAGCCCAGCCCTTTCTGTCAATGACGTTTGTACATCATCTTCCATAAGGTGCACCCCTTAAATAAAACATGGGATGAGTCTAGGTGTCTTGACTGTGTGTTGACTCTGGACACCACGCGGAGAGCCTATCTGGGAATAGTTCGTAGGGAAGGAGAAGGGCTGGGCTCTCTGGTCATCTGGATTCCTCAGTGAAGAGGCTGGATTGTTTGCACCAAGTGAAAACAGAATGAGGCATAAAGACAAGTGACTTCAAAGTTTTTAAAACAAGATTGTGAGTTGTTTATTAGCATTTGAGATGAGGCTGAAATTAAATGTCATAAAAAGAAAATTGCTCTTCAGTTGTTGCTACTGACGAGGAGTGTGAGTGGAATAACAAAACAGCAACATTTGTGTTCAGAGGTTTGGGGCTGGTACAACTTTCTTCTCATAGGTCTTCTGACTCTGGCACAGTGGTACCCTCTGTGGGCTCGGCTGTGACCACTATAGGGATATTCTCAGACACCCACCCCTTAGGAGTCCTGTTGAAGGACCGTCTACCAGAAAGAGGATTGGCAAAGGCCATGAACCTGGAATCTGTTAGAAGTAGTAGCTCAAAATCGGGAACCTTGAATTTAACCATTTTTGATGCTTTTTCAAAACCTCCAAATGGGGTGGCAACTCTGTGAGAAAGGAAAAGCAAAAGAATAAATTAATGTTTAAATGTATCTACTAGAAAATGGAAAACAACTTCGTTCCCACTTTTACAGGCATGTTATGCTACATTCTTAGCGTGACTGTCAGCGTTTGACCTCTGAGACAACCCTTTATGAGAAAACAGATACTCCTGTAAAGTCCCATTGTATGTGCCCTTAGTCTGGGGCTACACTAATCTCTTCCCTGTGCCTGGAGATTGTAACAGTCATTTCTTGCCTTTGAGTCTTCGCTCACGAGGTGTCCCTACACAAGAGATTTCCTCCCTGCCTCCACTCCACCTGTGCATGGCCTGTGGCCTGTAAGTTCTAACTTCCCAACCACGGTCCCAGCCCACACTCCCTGCCTTAGCCAAATTCCTTCAGCATTGCCTTATGTCAGTCATTCAGAGCTTATGACAAGGACTTAGATTGTCATTACTCTTTGTATTCAACTAGGAACGTGGTCACCATTCAGGTGCTCTATGAACGTTGAAAGCTGACAGTTCAGAACTGGGTACAGGCACCAGCCACTGTTTGAAGTGCTTCTCACACTATTGGTAAGGAACCGCCATGGGCCCTGGTTCAAGCGCAGATGCTGATTTAGTTCGTCCAGGACATGTCCTGAGAGTCTGCATCTCTCACCACTTCCCGCGTGATGCCTGTGCGGGTCTGTGGCTCGCACCTCGGGTACCAAGGCTCTAGAGGGCTGCCTCACTAGATCCTCCCAGCTGCCTCGTCAGTTGGTTCTGCTAACATCCCTATGTCGTAGATGAAACGGAGACAGAATCCATGAAATGACTTGCTCAAAGTCACCCACTATTAAGATGTAGAACCAGGATTTAAACCCAGGTCCTCGGACTCCCCAGAGTCCTGCTTTTCTGTTCACTACCTTGCGCCACTCCCTCATGAGATACTTCTTAAGGAGAGTCGGGCCTTCTGCAGTCACTTTCTAAATACAGCGTACTTAGGAATGGCAACCCACTTGGGCTATGTCTGAATGATGTCAGACTACGTTGCTGTCAAATTCATCATGCTGCTGTCTGATTCCCTGCCCCATGTTTGATCATTGGATTTAATGACTTGAAGAGTCTTTAGAATTCTAATTTGATTCCATACATAAGTAAAACCTATTATTCTTGGGTTTCCAAGATAATATTTTATCATTTTTAAAAGGTGCCATTGTATATAAATAGTTTGTTCATTTGTTGACTCATTTCATTGATTCATACAACAAATAAGTGATTGCTTAATATATCTTCTCTGCTGTGTGCTAGGAATTCAAAGATGGAAAGGCTGTAGTTATTCTTAACTTCAGTAAGCTCACAGAGAAGTAAAGATGAAACATGAGGAAAAGAACACATCGTGGAATAAGATAGTTACTCTAAAGGGAGAATATCCTGAATACAGAGTTGCTTAGGCTAAAAAGCACCAGTCTGCCTGGTAGGTAAGGAAACACTTGTTAAGCTCAGAGCCTGGGATCAGAACCAGCTATGAAATTTGTAAGGCCCAGTACAAAATGAAAACTCAGGGCCCTTTTTAAAAATTGTTAAGAATATCAAAACAGAGACAGCCAAGCATCAAGCTAAGCATGGCCCTTCTAGGTTGGCGCCACACAACTGTACAGACAGCACATGTACCAGTGGGGATTGTAACCCATTCTACCATTCTTTTGACATTGTTCCCATAAATACTGACTCTGTTGGATATGGAGCATGTTTGTAGAAGAATCTTAGAAGCTAACTTTGGAAGATACCGACTTTGACTTTCAGTCATCCTAGTTCCAGGAGATTAGCTGACCTTCAACAGTTGAGCCAGGATGTCGTAGAACCAGGATGATGAACACCAGGATGACCCACACAGATGACCACTTGACCAGTTTCAAGATCCTTATCATAATGGACTGTGCCAGCCTGCACGTGGAAAACTTTTCAACTCCCTCCCCTTGATTTCTGTGTTCTGCTTTGCTGCTTCCTCCTTATAAAAACCTCTGCCTGCACTGGGACGTGGAGATGGACTTTGAGACAGGAGTCCCCTATCTCCTCGGGTTACCAGCACTTGAATAAATCTCTTTCCTTTTTCACCAGCACCTGTCTCATGAGTTTAGTTTTTGTGGCGGCAGGCAGCTGAACTTGGGTTCTGGTTACACACATCCATCCCGGGAGTTTAAGAATATATGGTTTCCACTGGATACAAGATGCTGTACTTTATGTCTAGATTTAGACAGAATCTGGTCAATTAATTTTATGTTTATGAATTCCAGAAACAAATTTTACTTTTTTTTTTTTTTTTTTTTTTTTCCAGCATTAAATCAAAAAAGAAATGCTCCTCAGCCACTGAAATCCAGTATTTGGTTTTGGTAGTAAGTGCATTGCTTTTTCCTTTTTTGTCCAGTTCTGTGTTGTTTTTCCCTCCCAGTCTGTGGGTCATTTTCTTCTCTTATAAATGAAAACATTCCCTTCCGTTCCATCACTGGTCTCCTACCTCCTACCTCTGACCCAGTGAAAGCTTGCTGTTTGAAAAGCAGTGTTTTCTTTTCTTTGGCACCTTTGAGGCTATATCCTGTTTGAGTTTTTATTGCTCTAGGCACACAAAGTAAAGAAAGTCCATTAACAGAGATGTTAAGCATTCCAAGTGAGATTACTTGCAGGATATTTAAGGTCTCTGAAAATAGTTTCAAGTTTTAGGCAAAGATAGTGAAGCAAAAATTTCCACTAAAAGATTTGGACTAGTCAGAAGGTAACTGTTCATCCCTATAATTCCCACAAAATTTCTTCAAACATAGATCTGACTTAACATGATTTTACATTTGGTCATCTCTGGGAGTGAATAGGAAGCCTGTTACACTCAGATTTACAGTTAATAGATGCTTTCTTGTTTATTTTGATCAATAATAGGATTGCATTTATACTGATTAATAGTGCTGGACTTATAATACACTCCTAATAATTACTGATTATAAGGTAAAGAATGTTATAAAATGATTGTATAGAAATTAAAATAAAGTCATTTGACTAGATACCTAGTGTATGTAATACATTTAAAGGTACACCATAGAATTATTGTACAGGTGAGGAAATTAATATGAGGAGGGTGAAGTAACATAGTCACAGCTTCTTGAAGCAGAGCTGGGAACCTTGCTTCCAGTTTAATTTTCATCCCATGTTGCATGGGTTATTTAAATTATAATATAATAATGCCCAGTCGGTGTGGCCCAGTGGTTGAGCATTGACCCATGCACCAAGAGGTCACTGGTTCAATTCCCAAGGTTGTAGGCCAAATTCCCAGTGAGGGGCATGCAGAAGGCAGCCAATCGATGTTCTCTCTCATCGATATTCTCTCTCACTGATGTTTCTATCTCTCTCTCCCTCTCCCTTCCTCTCTCTCTAAAATCAATAAAGAAAAAAATAAATAAATATAGTATAATTTTTTTAATCCTCACTTCAGGATATTTTTCCATTTGTTTTCAGACAGAGTGGGAGGGAGAGAGAGAAATATTGATGCGAGAGAGACACTGGACTGGTTGCCTCCTACACAACCCTGACCAGGGCCAGGGACTAAACCACAACCGAAGTACATACCCTTGACTGGAATCGAACCCGAGACTCTTTGGTCCAAGGGCCAATGCTCCAACTGCTGTGCCAAACCAGCCAGGGCTAAATATAGTATAATATTTAATAGTATGTTCAAAGTGAGTACAAGAATGCAAAGCTGTATTACTAGGGGTATTTTGAAATCATGATTAGACCTGGAAGCCGTTTCTCCTCCTGTCATTATCCCTGACGAGCACCGGTAGCTGCCTCTCAGCTGACACGCGTCATTAACAGTATCTGATAATTATGTACAATAATGTGAGGCCACCAAATAATGTCATTTTACTCTTTGCAACGGACTTTGGGAGTATTTGGAAACTATTTCTCTCCCTCTCTCTCTTTGTCTCTCTCTGTTGGCTCTCATTTGTTTTTGCAAAAATGAATAAACATGTATTAGAATAAAGTCTTAATAATGTTGAATTATTTAAGAAAGGAAAGGAAAAATTGTAGTTGGTATTACATTTTATTTTTAAAATGTATAATAGTTGTGTGAAGAACTAAATTTCTGGTCAAATTATTTTCTTATAACCTTGAGTAGTTTGATAATAGAAACTCCCATTAAATAACCTACGTAGAAATTATTTTAACCTTTTTTAAATTATTGGAATGTGTTCTGGACTAATTCAAAGAATGGCATTTTATCACATTTAATTTATAAACACCTGGATAACTCTTGAGATTATTTTATCAATGTGATTTTATAAAATAAGAGTTTGTTGAAGTGTAAGGTACATTTTTAAAAGTATGTAAATCATAAGGTAAAACTTGATGAATATTATTCTGTTGTAATTATTTGCTGCTGGTATATAAAAATATCATTAATTTTTATGTTGACCTTGTGATCTTGCTAAATTTACTTACTAAGTCTACTTACTAACCTGTAGCTTCTTTTGAGTTTCCTGTGAACAAAGACAATTTTTCCTTTTCTATACTTACACCTTTTGTTTATTAAAACAACTTCTTTGTCTGAAAGAAATTGTTTTTATGTTAACTTTCACCTCTAAAGAATATTTTCACTGGATATAGACTTACAGGCCGGCAGTTATTTATTTCATAATTGTAAAGGCAATATTACAGGAGCTTTAAGATGTTCTTATTGTCTTTGGTTTGCGGCCGGTTTGCAGCCCTGCGCCTTCGCGTGGCTGACACCATGTGGCTGACGCCATGTGGCTGACGCCATGTGGCTGACACCATGTGGCTGACACCATGTGGCTGACTGGCTTGCGTAGTACTTTGTGGATCTGAGGCCTGAAGTCTTTTGTCAATTTTGAAAAACTCTTGACCACTAATTCTTCAGATATTCTTTCTGCCTTATTCTCTGTGTTATTCCCTCCTGAGACTAACCACCCCTGTAGGTTGGCATTTTCATTTCCAGGTGTGTCTGCTCTTTCCCTACATTTTAAATCCACTGTTTCTTCTGTGCTCCAGTCTGAACAGTTGGAATCTTGTCTGCTTCAGTGTATGAATCCTCTCTTCAGCTGTGTTTAATCTGCCATGAACTCTATTTATTAATTTTTAAAACATTCCTGTTACTAAATATAACGCAAGTACAGAAAACCTCATAAACACGGACAGTAGCTTATTCCAAAGTGGACCGCCTTGTAACCACCACTCGAGCGGAGGCAATACCACGTCCTGCCGGTCACACCCTCTCCTGCCCGAGTGGTGGTCAGCATTTTGACTTTCAGGATAATATCAACTTATAACTGTTTTTTTAAAACTTACTTTCTGTGTTAATAACCCAAGTATGCATCTCTAAATACAATGGTTTAGTTTTGCCTGTCTAATAAAATTGTGTCTTTCTAATCTTTTTTATACTATAGATACCCTTTTCATCCCTTCCCCACATTTATTTATTGAAGACATTGGATCATTTGTCCATATGATTTCCCACTGACTGGATTGTACTGATTCCGCTCCTCGGTATATTCTAGCATTTCTCTGTTCTTGGTGTTTCCTGTAAATTTTATATGGATCCGGTGACTTGATACTTTGACTTGTTCACTTCAGTTGCTACATCTTTGTTTTTTGTAGAATTCCCGTTTAACCCTCTTTTAAAAAAGAACATTCTCAATCGGCTGGAATTCCTCATCTTCTCAGCTCGCCTCTTGGTCCTGTTTCCCACAGTTGTTTCAAAGTGAGTGTCTGATAGTCTAATCGTTAGCTCTTTTATGGGTCTTGTTTCTTTTGTTTATTATTTTTCTCTTCGTTTTTAGTCATTTGGTCTTGTCTCATGGTATGCTTGGTGATTGGCAGGTGACTGATGAGCATCATGTATAAACATGCAGAGATCATCAGAGTCTCTGAGTGGTGTCATCTTTCTTGGAGCGAGGACAGACCGTTGTCTATGACAAGCAGTTTGATTTGAAGGAGGTGATCTTTATCCAACCCGGCACTGTGTTGATCGGCACAGCGTTTATTTTCATGAACAGTGACACATCACTTGTTCCTCTTTATTCCATGGTATAGCCTTTAGAGTTCCCAACTCAAAGCTTGGAATACCTGGACCCCTCCTCCCCGCACACCCTGGGCTTAGGGCTGTTCTAACAAAGGGTTCAGGCTCTGCACCATGGTGTGGAGACCCGGGTAGTGCAGACCAACCCTGTCGCCCAGGAGAACCAGTTACCTGTTGAAGCTCCTGTAGTCAGGCAGCTCTGCCTTGCCTTCGGGCTGGAACAGCTTAGGGTACAGAGCCTCTAACAGCTCCGGATCGCTGCCCATGGCCTGTTCCCAGGGCGACTGGTAGTACTTGGGGACAGCTGTGGTGTTGAATCTCTCCGGAGGAATTTCCTTCAGTGGCCCAGAATATCCTTTGGAAAAATATAGCAAAATAAGTAAACACAGAGTGGCCGAGAGTTACGAGACTCCCCCTGACATTCTGCTTAGTCTTCATGCGAAATAGCTGTATGAAGAAGGCACCCTTTCTTAGAAAGGAGTCGTCCAAAAGGCTTAGATATGTTTCAGCCCCTTTAAAGGAAATTTCCAAAGAAACCACTGTTAGTATACATTTGTTCCGTGTAACTATTCACTTAATTTTTAAAAATTGGGCCCCTTATATTAATTTATGGTAGGCTTTAGATGTCCCAGTTAGTGAATTAATTTGAGAATAGACAGTGAGCGTCTGCTGTGGTCTGGGCCCTCGAGAGAAGGCAGGTAAGACCGTCCCTGGTCTCGGAGCTGATTTGTTAGGGGTGATACTCGGGTGTTGTTTCCGAAAGTGCTGGCTACGGTGCTGAGCTTCAGGACGGTGCAGAAATCCGCATTCATGCCCTGGGTGAGGCCCTGCCCTCCCGTCCCCCTGGACCCTGTTCCCACGGGCCTCTCTCCTGACCCTCCTGCGTCTGGTCACCTCCTCAGCCGCCTCCTCTCACCAGGACCAGACTTCTGTCAGCGCCGTGTAACCATCACACGAACTCTGGCAGAAGCCGGGGACCACTTCCGCAGCATCGAGTCACACGCCTCAAGGACGCCCGCACGGCCGACTGTCCCCCGCGGGGCCTGCCCCGAGCCGGCGCACCCCGCCCTCCCCAGCCGCCTGCGCTCCGGGGCCCCTGCTCCCGCCTGCTCCCCGTCTCCGCCACATCCTCAACCCCTGCCTGTCCTTCCTTCACACGTGACAGGCCCCGGGGCTTCCTTGGTGGTTCATTTTCTGATTGCCTCCAGCATCTAAACGGGCCTCTGTTTAACGCGCCTTCTCGGCCACGCAAAGATCGGCGTCAGACTCTCGTCTCCACACCACCCTCCGCCAGGACGTCCGTTCCCGCCCCTGGCTCCAGTGCCCCTGCACACTGCGGACTCCAGGTTCTGACTTGGACCTGCTGGGTCTGTGCTGACAGGTGTCCCCAGCCCACTCCACGGCATGTCTGCACCTCGGTGACACGTGGGCAACCCTCCCTGCCTCCTTCCCCTTCCCCGTGCGGAAAGTTTCCCCAAGAACCACTGTCTCAGCAAATGCTACCCCTGTGCCCTCAGAGGCCAGGACAAGCCTTATCCCCGACTCCCCTGTTCCCACGACACCAGCTGAGGATGACGGACTGCGCTTCCTAAGGACTTCCAGAACCGTGGCTCTCGGACTCTGTTTCCAAACCCCCTGGGCACCTACTTGAAATGTTCCGAAGGACCAGATGTTGAGAGCTTCCCCCAGAGATCTGGCTGCGGTCGGTCTCGGGTCTGGCTCATGGTCTTATGCAGGTGATTTGCAAAGAGAATACTGGGAGCCTTCGCTCTAGCGCCGCCCTCTGTCCCTTATCCCTGCCCCAGGCCGGCCCTGCCCGCGTCCTGCCTGACCGGTCACCACCGCCTTCGTGCCCACCCTTTAGCTCTCCATCCCTCCCAGGCACCCCTGCACTGCTGCCCCCGTGACCTGTGACCAGGACACGTGATCATGTCACTCAGTTCTCGGGACAAAAATCTCAACCACTCAGCATGACACACCTGTCCCCACCAACCTGTCCTGCCTCACCTCCTGACGTCCCCATATTTTATGCTCCAGAACTGTGGCTCTAGTTGAAGCTTGCTGTCCCTTACGTCTCCCTCCCTGTCCCATGTGTCCCCTGAGCCTGCACTCTCCGACTTCAGCCTCCGCTTGAGGTGACCTCTCCTGCGCGGCCGCCGTGGAAAGCTGGGCCGCCGGCCTGCGTCCCGCCTGGGTCCGTACAGACGCCCGCCTCCACCGCACCCTGTTCCTGTTCCCCTCCTGCAGCTCATCAGGGGTCAGGGTGCAGACACTGGGCAGTCTGCCATTGTAGATTTTTAAAAATTTCCTAAAATCCCACTACGCCAACACATTTATTTTATTTGTGTATCTTTTCCCTCCTGTTTGTCTTCACCCACAGACATGATGATCATGTAACTGTGAATCTGGGACCAGACCTGGATTTAATCCTTCATCAGTCCATATGTAGCCGTTTGTAACATCAGTTTAATTTGTTAAAATGCAGATTGTAATAGATATGTTGTGGGGTTATTGTAAATGAAGGAAGACAAATACGTGTCAGCGCATTTCACAAATTGTACAGTTTCATACGAGTAGAATTTCAGTACAATTACACTGACTAGATTTTTAATCTAGCAGGTGATTGTCAAGAGACACACTGGGCCATCGGAAAGAACCTGAGACCACTGTCCATGTTTGGATGACTCCTTCAGGTCTGAATCTTTACACGGACCTTGACTCCCCCACAGACAAATAGGGGGTGGGTAAGAGAGGATCTACAGTTGTTCATGTGGAAAATGCAATAATTCATAAGTAGCAATGCAAGAATGAACTCTGCATTTCGTGTACTCGCAACTGCACACCTACTTTTGCCCATTGTGACCAGCATGCGACCAGCTGTGGTACTTTGATGCCATTTACCAAAGCGTCCGGGTGACCTGGGTCACTCATTTAAAGGCACAGCAACCTTATTGTTTCATTTGTAAGGCGATGAGTTACCTGGTGCGATGTTTTCTGGATTCGGGGGGCTCCTTGGATCCGGGGTGTTGGGAGGAGTAAACGGGGCTTGCTGGGACCCGCCTTCCAAGGGACTTCCGTCCAGTTTCCCGTTCTGCATGGCACGGTTGTGCTGTATTGGTCAAAAGTCAACTGCTGAAAACTCAGAAGTATTAGACACTCCTATAGGAAATACGCGAGCTGACCTCCATTCATAGATCTGGGACTTAACACAATGACGCTTCCTTTTTCGAGGGCTTCTCAGTAATTTACATGGTCCTCGGCTGAGCTTTGAATGAGAGACTTTACTGAAGTCTGTCTGGGATCTGTTTTATGATGACAGTCCACACCATCATAATTTTCTCAGCCTTAACTGTGTGCCAAGTGCAGGGTCTTGGCTTTGTATCAATTACTCCGTTCCCTTCTCCCGGCCTCCCTGCAAGGGGAGTCTGCCTACTCTTCAGTGTCCACTGATCTCACATCGAGGTACCGTCAGACACGTGGCTCAGACATTGTTACATTACTAGTTTATTTATAGTTGGGCTTAGATGAGATTCCTTAAGATGCCTTGTTTCAAAATTCAGTCTGATATTCCAACACTAGTTGTGTGTAACAGAAAAGAAATTTGTACCACTAAATTGCATAAACTGGTAGAAGGATTAAATCCCATAAACTTGAGGTTTCTATCAAATAAAATGCTTAAAAGATGTTTGTCTTTAAGTTTTAGGTGAGTTTGTGTATCATGCATTAGTGTTCGTTCTGTGGCAGTAACAAAGCAGTTTGAAAACATTTGCATTGCAACAGAGAAAACCGACACTGTAACAGCTGATGTCCTCAGAAGGGTCTCTGATACAGCGCTGTTCTACCTACGTGTGGGAGGCACCTGTGTGTGTTTGAAAAGGCCAATCTGTGTAAGAATTGTATAAAGTGAAATTATCATTTAAATTTAGAAAAAAAATTTGGTAAAGAGCATAGCAGAGAAAGACCAATTTGGACTTGTTTCTGTGTGACATAGCAGAAAGTGTCTTAATCCTTTCTTATTTCTGTATGTACTTATAAGGGGATATCGTGAAGTACAGTTTTACATTTTAATGCTTAACTTTATAGAAATGTGAGGATAAAAGACTCTTTTGTCCTAAGATCTCAATATTTCCCATAATTAAAGGCCATAATTAAGGGCCTCACCTGAGGTGTTATACATATAAGTTGTGCCAAATACATAGTAAAAGTTATTTTTTGAACAAAATAAATACATATTTAGAATCCCCCATATATGTAGTTTGGTGTTACTTAAGAATTACTTTTTATAGTATACGTCCCCTTTCCCAACCTTATTTAAGATTTCTAGAGATTTCAAAGAGCCCCCAGTTACCAAATGCAGAGATGGTCTTGACGGAAATGGGGGTTGCTTTGCTTTATATCCTTTGCAGTGGTTTATAGAAGTTTAAATATCATGAGCCACTCCTGGCCCGTGTGGCTCCGTGGTTGAGCGTCGACCCTGCACCAAGAGGTCGCAGGTTGGATTCCCGGTCAGGGCACATGCCCAGGTTGTGGGCCTGATCCCTAGTGGGGGGCATGCAGGAGGCGGCCAATTCATGTTCTCTCTCTCTCTCCCTCTCCCTCCACTCTCTCTGAAATCAATAAAGGAAAAAAAAAGTTTTTTTTTTAATATATCACATTTCTTGTCTCCTCCCGTGGCCGCTCCTGTCCTTCCTGTGTCCTGTCATGCCTTCCTGAGTGGGGTCATTCGTCCCTGAACCAGAGCCCACACCGGCTGTGTGGCCCCTCGGGTCCCCTCCTCCACGAACGCACATCCCCTGTGGTCTCTGTCAGGAGGTTTCTGCGGCCTGGATCGGCCGGTGCCTGACCAGTCGAGCGAGCCCAAAACTGCACTTCCATCGGCTATTTTTAAAGTGATACTTCATACTTGAGCAAACGGCAGGGAGGGAGTCTGCTTGTTTGTTACTAGCTTTTCATTTAGGAAACCTTTGTTCGAAGAGTTTTATGCTCACTGGTTTTATGGTTCACAGGCACCAAAGCTCCCCACACAATGTAGCCAGTGTCCGGGGACCGAGTGTGGCTGCAGGTCCCGGGCTCCTGTCGGTTCCAGGGTGTCCTCAGGCAAGACGCTCCCGCGTGCCCTGTGGGGCGCTGTGTGCTCTGGGAGTGTTCCCGCCCCAAACATTCACCCCGAGATGATAACACCGTGTTCACTCCCAGCACCACGACCTCCCCCTGCCCCCCTCCCCGGCTCCTAGCAGAACAGACCTGGCGTCAAGTGCCAAGTCTCCAAGCTCACGGCGTCCCTGTTGAACTAAAAAGATATTCAGTCGTACATAATGTTCCTTTATTGACCCACTGAGACTGTTCATTGTCAGGAACAAGGGTGGAATACTTGTTTGGGAACCTCGTAATAGGAATACATTTAGAAATGTATGCCTGACCGGTGTGGCTCCATGGTTAGAGTGTCGATCCTGCACCTAGAGGTCACCAGTTCAATTCCCGGTCAGGGCACATGCCCAGGTTGTGGGTCCGATCCCCAGTGGGGGGCGTGCAGGAGGCGGCCAGTGGATGTTCTCTCTCATCGATGTTTCTATCTCTCTCTCCCTCCCTTCCTCTCTCTGTAAAATAAGTAAAGAAAAAATAAGAAAAAGAAAACAGCCCTGGCCGGTTTGGCTCAGCGGTTAGAGCATCGGCCTGCGGTACAGAGAGACCCGGGTTCGGTTCCCGCTAAGGGCATGTACCTCGGTTGCAGTTTGTCCCCGGCCCTGGTTGGTCGTGCGGGTGGCAGCCACTCGATGTGTCCCTTTCATGTCGATGTTTCTCTCTCACTCTCCCTTCCTCTCTCTCCCTTCCACTCTATCTGTACAAAAAATGGAAAAATTGCCTCGGGTGAGGATAAAAAATAAAAAAAATAAAAAAAAAGAAAAAGAAAACAGAAATATTGCCCATTTATTTACATCCCATGTGACCAAGTTATACTTACGTGTATCTGTGCTTTTGATTCATACTGGAAATTTTCAAACGTGTACTTATCAGATCGTCTCTGCCGCATCTTAAATAGCCTGGCCCCGCGGTTACTGAGATGGGACAGTTCTTCCAACATGATGTCTCTGGGGACGCTGACCTTTTTGCCCAGGTCCATGCCATCGACATCTGGAAAACGATATTCGCATGCATGAAAACACCAAGGTAAGCATTTTAGCTGCTTTTCTAAATTCCGTAATTTATTGCCTGCCATCTGTGGGCGGCCGAGTCGCAGGCTCTTGCGTCAGACTGCTGTGGGCCGGATCCTGGCTTCGCTCCTTTCTAACCACATGATCACGGATATTACTTATTTCCTCTAAACCTCGGTGTCCTCGTCTCTAAAGTGGGGCTCCTGCGTTAAGACCTACCGCATAGGGTTGCTAGGAGGGTTTTTAAAAATGCTTCCTATAAAGTATTTCTGTGGTACTTGTCACACAGGAAGAGTGACTGAAAGTAAGTTGTCATTACTAGTAGACAAATTTAGTCTTTCCAAACTTAGAGAGTTTTTAAACAGCACTGCTGAGAGTTCTCTGAACGGGCTCAGCGTTGCTCCCCACATGTTAGGTGTTAGCCGGAGCCGTCCCTGCCCTGAGTGCTCGCCCCCACCGTGCCCCCTTCCCTGCCTGTCAACCTGCAGCCAGCGCCCAGCCCGGCGAGCGAGGCAGCTAAGTGAGGAAGGACAGCCTTCCCAGGCCCCTCGGCCATCTGTCGCCCCCTCAGATCCTGTCCCCGACCACCGCGCACAGCCTCTCGGTTCCGCTCTGCGTGTTTGTGGTTTGAACTTCCCTTCTGTTTGAGTCGTCATGTTCCCGTGCCTTGGACATAGTGGGCTCGCTCTGGAAGCCGGAGAGAGAACAGGAAACCCCAGCCACTCGGCATCGAACAGCACGTCTCCAGCATCAGTGGCGGAGGGAGTCTCAGGGGAAACAAACTCCTTGACTGAACGGAGGTGAGCAGGGAGCCTTAGCGAAACGCCCGCTCTGCTCACACCGAGATTTCTAGCACTGACTGCGCGTCCAGAGCGAGAGGCCCGAGCAGGGGTCTCAGCCTCTACCTCACATGTAGACAACGAAGAGCCAGGTAAACCCAAAGCAAGCAGGAGTCAGCAGTAATGAGGATGAGACCAGGAATCACAGACGGAAGAACAACACCGACGGAGCAAGCACAGAAGACAGATGCCCGTTCGGGGCGGGACAGGGGACAGGCGGACGCGGCAGGCGGCCAAGGGCAGGAGGGACGCCGCAAGGCGCTCTGCACACACCTTTCAAAACTGGGAACAAGGGATCAATTCTTTGAAAAGCTCAAAGTACCACATCTCACCCAATCTGAAGTAGATCATCCGAGTCCTTCTCCACCTACTAGGCCACGGAACTTAGAAATGGGAAATGTCTCAAAAAAGAGATCTTCAGAGCTAGATGGTTTCACTGGAGAATTCCACCTTTGAAGGAAGAATTCACACCAGTGCTACATATTCTGTGCCTAAAAGTGGAAGAAGAGGGAACACTTCCCAGTTCATGGTTTAGCTCATAGAATTCTGATACCAGAACCAAACTGGAGAATTCCACCTTTTAAGGAAGAATTCACACCGGTGCTACATATTCTGTGCCTAAAAGTGGAAGAAGAGGGTACACTTCCCAGTTCATGGCTTAGCTAATAGAACTCTGATACCGGAACCAGAACTCTGATACCGGAACCAAACAAGAAGAACACACAGAAAGCCACAGACCAATACCCCTCGTGCACATAGAAGCAGACGTCTTCCACAGAACATCGGCAGATAGAATTCAACAACATTTAAATGTGATTCTACACCATGAGCAAGTGCAGTTTATTCCAGGCATAGGAGACTGGTTCAGGATTCACAGATCAGTCCCTGCAATGCAGCCGACAGAGAAAGACCACATGGTCGGCCCTTCGGGATCTAGAGGCGGGCAGTGTTGTTAAACTCGACAACAGCAGTGCAGACCACTAAAGGAAGAACTCGTAGGTTGGACTTGATCAGAATCGTAAACTTGTATTCTGAGAAAGAGTCTGTGAAGAGGGTGAGAAGCAAAGCTACAAAGTGGAGAACAATATTTGCAAAACATGTGTTGGACAATAGGCCAGGGTGTATAAGGAACTCGCAAAACTCGCCAGTGAAAAGGCCAAACAGTCCAATCAGAGCACAAGACACGAAGGGACGTTTCACCCACAAAGATGTGCAGGTGACCAATACGCGTGTGGAGAGAGAGTCCAAACCACTGTTCAAATTAGAGATCAAACTGCAGCGAGACCCCACACCTGCTGCTGGGAGGAACCCTCCCCTTGGGGAGGGGGTGGAGGAACCCGACCACCCATGGCTGCTGGGATGTAAACTGGAAAAGAATGTCTAGGTTCCCTCTAACACTGAGCATAGAACTACCAGCATTCCCAGGCACTTACCCCAGCGAAAGGAAACATTCGCACAGAAACCTATGTGCAAAACACAGAACCCAGATGTACTTCAGCAGGGAAATGGTTAAAAACACTGGTCCATCCGCACTGTGACCCACAGCAGTACGAAGGAACAAAGTGTTGGAAGGAACGCGATACCTGGCTACGTGACGAGTTACACTGAGTGAGAAAAGCCATCCCTAGTGCTATGCTCGCGATTTCTATGGCATTCTTGAAATGAAAATATACACATACACAAACGAGGGCAGACTAGTGACGGGCAGGAGGCTCTAGACTATCTCAAGGTCAGTATTCTGGTTGTGGTGGTGCACCGTCTTTTACAAGATACTATGGGCAAAGCTGGGAAGAGACCAGCTCCATTATTTCTTACATTTGCACGTGAGACCACAATGATCTCAGAATACAAAATGTAAGAGGCGCCGAGCCGTGGAAAGACATGAATGATCTGTACGTGAATATTGCTGAATGACAAGCCAGTCGGTAAAAGAGTCCAGAGTCCACTGATCGATCGAGTTTCAGGAATTCCATGAGTCAGTTCAACTCCGAGAACGCAGCCATTATTACAGTTAAACGGCAAAGTTCGTAATTAGATCAATTATATTAAAAAACAAAGCAAATAAAGTCTCAAAATGTATCTCTATATCTTTCGCTACTTTCTGCTATTATCTGTGCTGTTGACTCTATTTGTATCTCACGCATCTGTGTGGTGGAAACTATGTAACGTCCCGCACTGCCCATCTCTTCCCATCTGCAGGCAGGGACTGCTGGGAGCTCGAAATCGGCCGCATGGGAGTGTTTATACCACGGAATCCGCGGACCAAGGCATGTCCCCCGCCCCACAGAACCAGTCGTGAGATGTTCACTAGTAGACACCAGTGTGTTAAGTCTGCATATGTTGCAACCAACCAACAAATGACAAAAGACACAAAGTAAATTCTCCGAGGTGTTCTTCCTTTGTCGTCCAATAGCTACGTCTGCGAAGTAACCAGAGCAGGAGTCCCAGACCCCTTGCACTGGAGAATCCGATGTATGGACAGGCTGGTCACTTCAGCTTCCAGAGTGGGGAAAACTGTCAGCTGGGCCCGTGAGTCCATGTCCAGCTGTCCCCTGCCCTTTACTGCAAACCCCGGTGCAGGGTCTCAGCCGTGTGTGAGCTGGATGCCTGGTAAATGATATAATTTGTTCAGGATACGCATCCTTGACCTGAGGATTAGCAGGTTGTCTCTGTGGCATTAGATCACCCATTGAAAATAAGATTGCTCGGCGTACTTTCCTCTTGATGTCATTGATGCTGATCCAGAATTTTCCGCGTATTCTTTTATTATTTCATCGGGTTCGTCTATTATGTTTTGCTGCTCTTTCAAGGAAATCAGTGATTATCTTTGAATAAATATTTAATTATGAAAGGATATCAACAAATAACTTTAGGGTCTTGACCATAATCAAAGTAATTTCTACCAAAAACCCCACAGTTTTTAATCTGCTAGAAATATTAAATAATTGTTATTGATATTCTTTCTCAGTAGGGTCCTCAAATGTACAATGTTTTTGTAGTTAAATTAAAATGTAAAATTTTACATTAAAAAGTTCACATATTTCGCCCAGGCCTGTTTGGCTCAGCCGTTAGAGCACCGGCTTACAGTCTGGAGAGACCCGGGTTTTTTCCCCCGCTAAGGGCACGTACCTCGGTTGCAGTTTGTCCCCAGCCCTGATTGGGTCATGTGGGTGGCGACCACCCGGTGTGTCCCTTTCATGTCGATGTTTCTCTCTCTCTCTCCCCCTCCCACTCTATCTGAACAAAATATCAAAAAATGTCCTCGGGTGAGGATAAAAAAAAAAAAAATGTTCACATACTTTGATATTTCAATTTTTAAGTATATTTTCCTTCCACTTTCCATGCTGTGGAACTGCATTGCTATGAGTACTAGAAGCCAAGAGGAAAATCACACTTACTGGGAGAGGATTCGTTATCACTGAAAATGTGGTCAGTTCCTTTTCCAAACCTACTTCAATGTGGAGACTTATGAGTAAACACTGGGCTTAAATTTCTCCAAAAGGAAACATTCTGGTGTTGTTGTTTTTCACATTAGTTTCATAGATTAACAGTCTCAAACTAAGTCAAAAAAAATGTATGTGTGCCCAAGTAACTCTGCATTTTTTATTTGAAATTTTGATCCTGCCAAAATGACGTATTTAGTTAGATCAGTGAATTCAATTCACACTTTGTAAAAATACCCACTTACAAATCATTGTAGTAAGACAAACCATCTTTCACAGCTATGTCCCGTGGTCTCTTGGCAGGGGCAGCTCTCATGGGTGGGCAAAACCCTGAAACGGACCAGCTGGAGGGGTCCTGCGGATTTACTTCGGAGCCAAGAGATTTTCTGTGCCCCTGACAGACTGTCTGGTTGGCCTATATGATTGAATATTAATCCATGACATATATACATTGTTGCATAATACAATGTAGTATATAAATGATAATAGTACAGACTGTGATTCTGAATCATGCCTGAAAAAGACAACTGGTAAAAAGTTCATTAATGATTTTCTCCATATTAAAAAGTTGATATTGAAATCCATCTGGGATTTTTTTTTCTCCTATTTTACATTTTACATCTCTTCCCTTTGATTTGAGTTCTGAGGCTATTTTGTAAAGTGATCAAAATTTTACTGTTAGTTAAAACAGTATCATGTAATGGCTGGGTGAATCTATAAACATTTAAGAAATGAGATTACACGAACTGAATCACACCCGGAGAATCGTCTAGTGCTGTTTCTAGGAGGGACACCTAGAGCCTGTGAAAGTGAGAAAGACACTGGGGTGATGGACTCGTGGGGCCAGAATCAAACGTTTGCTGTGAACTAGAACTGAGCCTGGTTTTCTGCTGCTCCTGTTCAGGGGTGCTGGGGGGTGGGGTGCTTTCTAGAGGTTCAGCAGTCTGTGGCAAGCTCACAACATCTGTGAATTCACAAGATATTACTGCCCACCAATTTTCAAAATAAAACATCCTTTTGTCCCCCCCTAGGGTTATGAGAAATTTTCAACCAAAGAAAACTAACAAACGTGTACACTAAAGCATTAGGTTGCTTTTCTCCCCCACGCTTGTTCATCTGTGGTGTTGAAGGCCTTCCTGGTGTCCTTATTTTGATACTGATGACGTGACTGATTGCAGTTCAGGACGTGCTTACCCAGGAGAGGCAACGGAGTCCTCACAATCTCGCATCCGAAGTTCAAGATTTTGCACTGGGTTTTCAAAGGGCCCTTGCCGCTCTGTCAATAGTGTCGCTGCCTGCGTCCTTGGTGGAGGAGCGCCGTGCCCTGGCGTCTGACCTCGGCCCGGAGCTCGGGGAGCAGACGGAACTGGAGAACAAGGTGCAGCAGCACATCCAGCCCCCCAGTCTCGAATGAGGACGCCGATGTGTGGTGTGGACCCTGGGGCTCCTGGCACCCTACCGACCACAGCACTGCCGTTAGATCCGGGTTCCGCTCGCACACAGCGAAGCCTTTTCCTGGCGTCGCAAAAGCAGTCTGTCCAGTGCCCGTCTGTGTGCTGGGAAAGGCCCGTCACAGCCAGGAGGGAAAAACAAAAACAAACGCACACCAAAATGAAAGCCCCGCTGGGCCAGGTGAGGACTGAGGACGACAGAGCAGCCCGGGAGGCCCTGGGGTCCTCCGGTGCCCCAAGCTCTCCCGAACCTCGGCCGTCGCTGTGCCGACAATCGGGGACCGCATGCTCCCACTTCCCGCGACAGTTCACTTCCAGTTCCGCCGCACTGACTCCGGACAACGCCAGGTGCTCCCCAGCGTCCCGCTCCGTCCGCATCCTTTGATCCTGCCCCCTTTCTGCCCCGTGGGGTTCACGTCTCCGGTGGGGTGCCGAGTGACGTGGTCAGCCGCGCAGAGCACGCCCAGACCGGGGTGCACGGCCGCCTCTCCTGCCCCCAGCGGGCACAGGTGACGGCCGGGCCCTCGTGTGTCCGCTCCGGCGTTTAGACTCTCACTTAGGTGGTCGCACACGGCTGATACTTCTGTGCAAAACATAGAGCTTTGGGCTCTCAACAGTATCACGGGCCGGCTGCTGCCGTTGGCCCCGCTGCTTCAGAGAGTGACGAGGGTCATAGCAGGGCGGTCGGTGTGGGCAGTCCCAAGTGCCACCTTCGGGTCAGGGGACACGTATTCGTTATGTGTTGGGAGTGTGGTCTGTTTGCTTCTGAGACACAGTTTGAAACCAAATGTAATGGGTTCATCGTGAGTAACAATTGGGGGGGAGTTAGTAGAGGCTGGGAGCTCCCATTTTTACCCGGTGCCACCCAGTTCCACGTGTCTGTGTGTGCACAGCATCTCAGTAATTCTCTGAGGTCATTTCTGCAGACGGGATGCATGCGCTGCTGTCAAACTCTTGTTTTTTAATATTTATCTTTTTCTACGGATTTATCTCAAAGGCTCGCCAGCTGCAGTCTCCCCCACAACTAGGACTGGACTGAACTTGCCTCTTGTGCTCGGAAGAGGGCTCGTCGAGCCGTCTGGTGGTCACATTCTGTTCTCCTACTGAGTGGCCTTTGCAAAGGGTGGTCAGAAATAATTCCCTTGTGATGCTACAAAGAAATTGTGATGCGTCAGGGAAGAGGCCTTGAAAACATTCTTCTCTTCGTGCTTATCAAGGACAGTCCAGTCCTGGGTGGACTGAATGCGTCTTATCCTTACGATGGAGCCCGTTGGTTTGCTTTAAACCAGCCAGATGTGTGCCGCGGGGACGTGATTGGGGGATGGTGCCCAGAAAGGCTTCTCTGCTTCCTCACTTCTGCATCCTTAGAAAAATGATACTCCCCTGAGCTCCGCTCCCTAAACCCCGTCGTGTGCGGACAGCGAAGTCCCCTGGAAGATGTCAGGGGGAGTAAGAGCCGGGCATCGTTTACGCTGCTTCCTAAAGTCCTGCAGCTCGTTTATGTGGGGGCTGGAAGGTCTGTGATGATCCCTGTGTTATCTGGAGCCTTGAGCACCAGACAGAGGCGGGACATGTGACCCACTCAGGGCTGGGCCTCCCCCGCGCTGGGAGCCGGCTCTCCGGGGGCCTGCACCCGGCCAGGACCCGCTGGTGCGGACACAGGAGTTTGAGGGGGGTCTCCCCCTTGAGACTTGACTGTGTTTTTTTATATTTCATAAACACAAAAGTTATGCTATATAAGTAAAAGAAAAAGACATTCTTATTCTTGCAGGTCTATGTCTGGACTAACCTAAATTAGGACCCAACATATGATTTAAACCAGGACTTCATTACATGGGTCCATTGGTGTATGATTATGATGTGATGAGAAAATAATACCATCTCAGGTCTAGTTCTAAGGTAAATAAGTTAGTCTGAAATTCCAGTGATTATCTGTTGCCGTATTGACCAGGTAAACTATGAAAACAATTTCAACTAGACTACCTGAAGCAGGCGCACAGGAAGCCTATACATGTTAAGGAGGAGTGCATTTAGCTGCTTTGGGTTGATGTCCACTCTGGAATCTGATGCAGAATTATTCTCGCTTTATTCCAAGCTAGTTTGACATCATAAAACATGGGAACTAAGTGGGGCCCAGATTTTGTCTTGCAGAAAACAAAGACCCTTTCGACTGGACTACGCTGTCCGGGGAGCATCTAAAACCGTCTTCTGTTGTTTCCATTCAGCTTTCTTTAGGGAAGATGAGGTGCAAACACCCTGTCGTGCTGCCCTGCAGACCTCTCCCCCAGGCTCAGATGCGAGGTCCCGTTCCTGTCCACCGACAGGGTGCAGCACCGTCCTGAGAAGGCCACGTGGCCACCGGGAATGGCTGGAACCAGCCCTTCACCGGATCTGCATGTTGCACGGACTCTCTTTGAACACGGATGCTCTCCTGTGCCCATGGCTGACGCTGAATTTCCGTTACAGCCATGAAAACGCAGGTCGAAAGAAGGCATTTCTTCCTTTCTAGAGCTCTTTGCCAGCCCTTAAAGAAAAGGCCGGAGCGGAGTGTCCCCTTGCACCGAATTTACATCGACAAGTTGTTGACTCAGCACCTAATTTACATCGACAAGTTGTTGACTCATTGGCTTTGAGACTGCCAGAACTTTATATTGTCCTAGAAATTACACATAAAAGTAGATTTCCACACAAAATAATCCTGGTCAATTAATTACTAAGTATGATGACTAGTTTCAGGGTTAAAAAAAAAAAAAACTTACAGTGACTATGAAATCCAACTTAACACCTTTTGTAAAAAAAAAAAAAAAAGGATGATTGAACATATTTTGAGTGATTTTGTACTATAAGGGAAAACCAAGACCCGCCATGGGGGCTGAATAATGAAGACAAATATGAGACCCACCCCCCAGAATGAAAGAGCTGAAAGGGGTCCCCTTGTCAGGTGCAAGGCGAGCCCCGCAGAATGTACATCGGCAGCGAGCGGCTCATTCCTCAGAGCAGTTGTCGTCTGAAAATAGCTCCCAGATGAGGAAGGATGACTACAGGAGGGTTAGTGACCAGGGGCTGGTCTCCACCCCCAGAGCCGGGGTCTGCGGGCCAGAGCTCCCGCTCAGAGCACGCAGCCCGGGGCTAGGGACGGCCGCCAGGGAGGGGCAGCGTTAGTGCCGGGCCACGCTCATGCTAAAGGGTTCGCACGGGTACCGTGTCCGTGGATCTCCTTCACGATGGCTGAGGCTTGCTGTCTCCTCTGCTTCACCATGGTGCTGTGCGACAGCATGGCTCCGTGCCCTGGGAAAACAAACACTGCTGGGCAATGGGGGCCCTCCTCGGGGGCCTTATCATCGTCCTTCAGAGAGAGAGCATCTTTGTTCTTTGGGAAGAATTCATCATGGCTTTCTACGGAGAGACTGTCCTCCGCATTCCTTGTCTGGTGACGGGGCCTGTCATCATGGACGGGCAGCGACCCAGTGAGCAGAGGGGCACTGGGTGCCAGGCCGGGCTTATCTATGCACAGGGCAGTGATCAGCAGGCAAGGGGAACCAGGGAGGGCTGCCTCCTTCCCCTCCCGCTCTCTCTCCCAGTGTATTGTCATCTGTCCCTGTGTCCTGACTGGCCTGCTTTTGTGCCGGCATCCCAGGACATCAGTCCCAGCAAACTGTAAGAATGAAGGAAGGACACCCGGTTAACCAGACGCCTCGGGGCGAGGTTTTAAAATTGGCATCAACAGCTGTCCTTTAAGACAAAGAATGCCCATTTGTGAGTCACAACCCTGAACCTCCTTGGACCACTGAGTAACAAGACATTTTAGGAAACAATGCACCTACCTCTCAGCCGTGCTTCCCGGCAGGACAGATCCCAGCGTGTGGGGGAGAGACCGGCGGTGGGGTGCGGGTGGCTCTGGGGCCCGATGGTTTCTATCCTTGAGCCTGAGACGGCATGGTCCCTCGCTCTGATCAGCTGGAGACTGAGCCCTTCAGAGGAGACTGGCACTCGGCTGACGTCGGCTGACTATATATAGCACCGAGTGCTTCAGCTACTCATATCTTCCTGGCGAGAGAGGACCGGGCAAGATTAGGCTCTCTCCATTGTGTTTCTGGTTGGCGAGGCGGTTGAATGAACAGACAGGGTTTTGGGGGAGCACATGCTGTTTGGAGAGCAGCCGGAAGGGATTTTAAAAACGTTTTAAGACACAGCTCTAATGCTGCATCTTCGTTGAGAGGGGCGACGCGGGAATTAGAGCAGAACAGTAGGATGTCACCAGAAAGAACGAAATCACAGGCAACCACATCATGGGGCTCCAAGGAGGAAGCAGGCCGCGGTGCGGGGGGCCAGCAGAGCCGTCCCGTGACCGGGTAATACCTGCACGGTGAAGTGGGGAGCACTCTGACGCGGATGCTCGATGCTGGGCAGTTCTGAGTAGAAGCGGAGACTCCCGACGGGTCGTGCTGTTTGAGGGGACCCTGTAGAGAGGTGTGCACACACGCAGGCCCTTCTCTGCCAGCCTGGGGGTCAGGGTCCCTGTTGGGGAGAAGGATGGGAGGAGAGGTATGGAGGCAGCCGTGCCGCCTCCTCGCTGGTCCTGGGGCACAGAGGTTTGCTTCCATTTCTGGATTCAGCTTTTGTGATTCTCCACTTGCTGGAGCTTCTCTCCCCCCCCCCCCCCCCACATGGCTCTCATGTGCACAGGACCCCGACCCTGCCTCCCGAGTCTGTCCCCAAGCCTCCTGCCTGAAAGGCCGCAGGGTGCCACCCTCTGGTCCCTCACTCTGCTTCATGGTTCTTCATATTTTTGTCTATCTTGTCGGCTTTGGCAAAATAGTCTCTCACTGGTACCGAATTAATCCCTGCAATACAAACATTCGCTTAGAAGCGATGGCAATAGGTTAGCTTAGACCTGCCCTCTGGCGCCATGAACTGTCAGTCCGTTGACCAGACACCAAAATGTGTCACCTGTTTCCGCCTCACACAGAGCAACTTCTCTCCTGAGTGGCCACTTAACTGATTATGTCAAAGGGGAGAGACAGAAAACCCCCCAAACTCAGACGTCGTCAAATGATGGAAGTTTGTTTTCTCATACAGGCTTGGTCCAGACGGAAACCATCCGGGATTGGTGTGACAGACAGGACGTCAGGGCCTCGGTCACCTTCTGATGTTTGCTCCATTGTCCCCACAACGCAGACCCTCAGACCAAAAGCGTGGCGCCAGCTCCACTCAGCAGGGAACAGGTAAGGAGCAAGGTGCTCTGTCTCCTGCAGAACACGACCCGGCGCTGCTCAGACCTCCTTCCCTCCCAGCCGCCGGCCAGAACGTAGTCCCCGAGCCACACAGGGCTCGAGAGAGGCTGGTGACGCCGACTTCCTTCTGCAGGGCCCTGTGCCGGCTACAGCTGAGAGGTTAGCTTACTGACCAGGGAGGCCGATGGCCACTGGGAGCCGGCACTCAGCTTCTGCCACAGGAACATGTCCACATTGATTTATCTACCATCTGTCTATCTGTGTATCTATGTATCTATGTATGTATCTTTATATCTATGTATGTATCTATGTATCTATGTGTGTATGTATGTATGCATGTATCTATCTATCTATCTATCTATCTATCTATCTATCTATCTATCTATCTATCATGTCTTTCCTACTAAAATATGGCCTCCATAAGGGCTTGGGGTTTGTCTATATCTTCAGCAGCAAGAATTGTGTGTAGCCTTGGCCGCTGGGACTCAGTGGTTGGAATGTCGGTCCAAGCACCAGAGGGTCACAGGTTTAATTCCCGGTCAAGGGCACATACCTGGGTTGCAGGTTTAATCCCCAACCCAGGCCAGGATGAGTGCAGGAGGCAACCAATCGATGTGACTCTCTCACACTGATATCTCTCCCTGTCCCTCCCTCCCTTCCACTCTCTAGAAACCAATGGAACCCTGGCCAGTTTGGCTCAATGGTTAGAGCATTGGCCAGCAGACCAAAGAGTCTCGGGTTTGACTCTGGTCAAGGGCAGGTACCTCAGTAGCAGTTCTTCCCTGGCCCTGGTTGGGGTCATGTGGGATGCGACCAATCAATGTGTCTCTGTCATATCGAGGTTTCTCTCTCGCTCTCTCTCTCTCCCCCACTCTCTCTCTCTCTCTTCCTCTCCCATTCTGTCTGAAGATAAATGGAAAAATATCCTCAGGTGAAGATTTTAAAAATAAAATCAATGGAAAAAAATATGCTCAGGTGAGGATTAACAACAAAAAAAGGGAGCATTGTGTCTGGCCTGCGGGTTGGGACCACCTGCGGACTGCACTGAAGGTCTGGCGTGCGTTTGGAATTCTCTTCGTTATATGCAGTCCTCCGGGGAAACGGGGCTGTTATATAAATAAATAAATAAATAAATAAATAAGCTGTTATATTAATTAATTAATTAATTAAATTCAGAAAGCGTCCATTTTCCTGTGTGGTCACCTTCCTGTGTTTCCTACTTTGTGTTATTTTCAGTGCTACAGGTTGAGTTGCTTATGTTCATTTTCATTTCCAAAATGAAAGGAGATCTTTTATGTATTTTTAAAAATATATCACCTTACTTGGTTTTGCTTATTTTGCTTATTTTTTTATTATGCTTAAAAGTGTTTTGCCTTATTTTCTAAGCTCATTTATCCATATCTCTAATAGCGTTCTGGCTTCTGAGTTCATATTTGTTCTGGAAGAAGAAAGAACATACCGCTGTGTTGTACTTTTCAGACAGTATGTGCCGACCACGTGACACAGAGGCTACATTGTAGCGAGAACGGGAGTGGATGTTACCAAGCACGTTCTGTCGTCCGTTCTGAGAGCTGGTGCGTTTCCATCTTTAGTCTAGTTGCAGTGAAAACAGTCCCATTTCATCTGCATGGAGACCTAGCTCCGATTATACCTCCTTCTAAATCTGTCCTGTTGCTTAGCCAGGGGCACCCCAATACATTTAATTTTTAAACCTGCCCTGTTGCCATGTGTTTGTCTGCAGCCTCCACCCTCCGACCCCTAAGGCCCAGGAGTGTCCCCCGCACGCAGGCACCCGGGAAGGACCTCCGCACTGCGCTTGTCTTTTCCTACCCGTCGTTCTTGACCGGAAGCTTCCTCCACCCCACTTTAAGTAGAGTGATACTCACTGTTCCCCTCAGGAGTACCTTACAGTAATCTGTGCTCAGGATGAGGTCTTTTCTCAGAGGCAACGTGATGGGTTCTCACGGTAGAATGTGGGGCCCCAGGAGGTTAGGAAGGAGGGTGTTCTGTACAGAGCTCGTCAGCTCCCCTGGACCGACGGTCCCCATTGCTGGGGCTGCCGCGGTTACGTGCATCTCCGTCACCCCTTGCTGAAAGAGAAAGAGTTTAAATAAGGTGAGTTTTACTGCCAATAGGCCACTTGCCAGAAAGCCACAGCGAGAGGGCCCGTGAGAGGAGCCTTATTCAGCCCGCGGTAAACAAGGTCTGGCTGGCGAAGCTCTTGTTTTCCTTCTGCTTCTCTTTGCCCCACTTTCAGTCTATATTCGGTGGCTGTGGGCAGTTAGATCAGGGCCAGACCCGGGGGTGGGGGACAGGATGTAGGGACAGACCATCGGAAAGGTGCCAGGCAGCATGTTGGTGTTCTTGAGGCTCCGTTCTGGACCCAGGCACACGTCGCCCCAACAGGGCAGCTGCTGGGCTACTGTTAGGAGCAATCTGGGGGGCCTTGTCCGGTGCTGACCCAGGAGGAAGGGATCTGTGACGGCTCATATCTGTGAGGTGTCCACGGAGGGGGCCTGGGCTGTGCAAAACGCCCTATGCAGCCTTTTTTTTTTTTAAATCCTCACCCAAGGATATTTTTTATATATATCTTCAGACAGAGTGGGAGGGAGGAAAAGGGAGAGGGAGAAACAGACGTGAGAGGGACACATCAACTGGTTGCCTCCCACACGACCCGAACAGGGCCGGGGACAAACTGCAGCTGAGGTACGTGCCCTTGGCCGGAATCGAACCTGTGACTAATTGTTTCACGGGCCGATGCTCTAACCGCTGAGCCACCCCGGCCAGGGCACCCTATGCCTTCGTGATGGCCGATCGGCCTGCCACGTCCCCGTGGTGCCTAATCTCCTCGACTGAGGAGCGTCCAGCTTACCACGATCTCCTTAGCAGGCGTGCAAGGCAGATGGTCGGCAGGACTGTGTGGTTGTGCCGCCGGCCAGGTGAGACGGGACAAGACAGACGGGTGAGTCTGCAGCTAAGCTCATTGCCGTCTAGGCCCAAGGGCCCAACAGTGGGCAGAGACCCTGCGAAGCCACCACCGACTGGTGCGGGCGAGGCCTCGCCCTTGTCTAGCATGAGGTCCTGAGAGATTCCGTCCCCCGCTGGTCACCCATGAACAGCACCAAGAGGAACTAAATCCAGGCTCTGTCGGATCCCACAGCCTCTGTATTCGCACAGTGCTGCGCAGAAACCTCTCTCTTCCTAAACGCGGAGTCCCGTGGCACTGATACCTGCATGACTCGTGTCAGGAAGCGGGGGGAGGCCTGTCAGGGTGACTTTTCAACGCTCTCCTTGCTGATTTGCATGGACGTCCGGCCTCCCAACACGAGGTTTGCTTTGGCCGTAGTTCTTTTGACTTAGAACATCTGTGGCACTTTTCCAACTCCTGTTTTTCTGGTTTGCAAACTTCTAGCATCCCTGCTGGTGTCCGTTCTCAGGGAGCTTTCCTTTCCTTCAGCTGTGCAAATACTGAGGTTATGAACATGCTGGACATAAACAGATGGAAACACGTCCATGGGCTGTGCAGACCTCCCCTCCCTTTCCTGGCCCGTGGGCCCCCCACAGGCACGCCGCCTTCGTGCCAGGAACGCGGCTCAGGCCCAACTCCACCCGAGTAGGCGTTTCCGAGGCCAGCCCGGCGTTCCGTCGTCCTCCTCGGCAGACGGGCCCCCCTGCTCAGGCTCTCCTTGCAGACCCTTA